TTTCTCACTTACTTTGCCAATAATTTTAGAGCGGAGATCTGCAGACATGATGAATGAGATCCTGACTATTGTCCCACCGTCTGGGGAAAAAGAGGCTAGAAAACTCATCTCATGAACCATAACATTGAAGCTAACTGCCTATTATATCAGTCATGAGTCCACACGTTCCATGGCATTAAGCTGGTCTCGCATATTATGGGATTAAATCTATTTCCAGACTGACATAGAAAGCCTGCATGCATATGGACAGTAGGCGTGTGCGCTACTTCTGTACAACTGTTTATCAGAATCGTTGCTGTATGCTTATTTATACATTTGTTTATGTCTTTCATCATTGTGTACATCTTTATACGTGGTGTCCAGACTACAAGCCTTGCTCAACTGATGATGTCTTGGTGCTTTCTAAAGATTTCACGTCAGTGGATTTGCACTAATCACCGGCACTGATGGTGGCAACACAAAAATGATATGGAGAATATATTTGAAGCACAACTGTCTTAGATACTCAATTCATCTTCTAACGTATTTCTGAGATGATTTCGCTCACGTTAGCATCGTGTATAAGTGCGGGTCGAGTAGTCTGCTTAGCCACAGGGATCGTACAACTCGAAACGAAGTCTGTTCATCACTTTTTCTGACTATCATGTCCATCACTGTTTTTCCAATCCAGATCTAACTTATTACCATGTTTTTCCAGTCACAGCATACTTTAGTAGCTCACGTTAGCAGCGCAAAAGAGAAGACGGTAAGGTGGCTTCGAGGGTAAATGCGACATTACAGCTACATCATCTCCGCCTGATTCTTCTACACTGTAACGGCTAGGGCGTTATCCGTAGTCTAAGACATTTTCCTAACGTCCGCTAACTTTTATACCGATGAAATAGGCTTTTATATCCTCAAAAGCTTCACTGATTAAGCATTAAGACAGCACTAAAATAACATAACTTAATATTGACTATTCTAGCTTACCAATCGAGAAGCTGTTTTAAACAGACGACGTCGATGCGACACAACTTTGCATTAAGTTCTGTTACGACCATACAGTGATCGAACCTGATTCAGGCGTCATGCCTATAGTGAATTTCGAGTAACAGGCTGTACCATTTGTGACTTATGAGGACATGGCTTAGTGGAAAGTTAGGGCCTCCATCGGTAGACGTCTAGAATTCGGCTATGAATGTATAACGTATCGTAGACAATTAAGTTGTTTGGCGAGCAAAAGCATGTCTGTCTTCTGTAGTTTTAACTAAATGACGTCTAAGCATGCCTGATCATGTGTTACATCCGGCAACAACCTTCGCATTGTGGTAGCCTGTGATTCAGGTCGACTGAGGTATGATATTCCGCTCCACAACGCCCTCCTAGTTGACGATGCAGTGGTAAACAGCGTCGCCACCAACGTCACCTGAGCTATTTCTCATAGCACAAGCTGCAACCATGACATTTTGTTTCGCATGCTATATTGGTTTTAGGCGATGATGGAGGATCACTTCAGACATTCATTCGGTGGAATAGCGGCATGTTCTCAATTAAGAAACAAAATGAGACCCGCAGCGACGACATGCCGTATGTGCCAGCCTGACCGGGACTTCAACCGTTCTTTTAACAGGACTAAGCGTCCATAACGGAACTAAGTACTACAAAGTCATCCAGCTTACCTTCGCCAAAAGAGTAACTAAAGATACCTCACGCAACAGACTTTGGGCCTACCTTGTCTCGAATACGGCTGGAAGCTACAAAAATCGCTTAGCTGCCATAGCGTCGTTAACCTAAACCAGCCCAACGTCACCAACAGAAATGAAACATGTCTCTCCTTCATGATATAACCTAAGTAAACTTTCGACAAAGAATAGAAATTGAAATGTAAATACATCTTGACTATCTTGTACTACCGTATCTCTGTATACATATTGATTTTTTCAGCTCAGAAGAGCTGGTAATATCAGTTGAAACCTTGGCCCTGCATCAAAACCGTTTGTGCCGTGCGTAATTCCGAATATAATAGTGTTAAACATGACAACAAGCCCATTGAAAATCATTCTGCAGCAGTCACGAGTGAAGTAATTAGTAAGAGGTAGAATTTCATTTAAGGTTTT